ACCTTATTTTTACAAACATACATCACATTCATCACACGTTTATTCGTTGTAAACCGAGTCTTCAACTGCTAGCCGGAGAGAATGACATAATACTCTGAATATCGCTTTTCTGACTCGTATCTCCTCTTCCTTTTTCAGCTTTCATACGCACGCTGTATGTCGAATATAGCCTAACGTTTGGGCCTTTCTCGTTCTAGTTTCTTATGCGCACTGCTAAAAAACTACGACTAGAAAGCACAAAATATCTCAATTATACGGCTGTCCACCGCGAGCTTCTACCAGTAAAATATCTCTTCACGTTGATTTTCTGGCGTCATCTCTTCAATAACGAACGTGGACGGTCCCAATCAACTGGCATTATGCAACTAAGCTCTGTCTCACATTTTCTCATTGGCATTCCATTTGTGGTTATATCTGCCTCTGGAAAAGCCAGTATGTAAAACCCCTTGGATCACAGAGATACCTTGGTTAACACACTTCATGAAAGTGCAATTTTGTGGTCACTAAACTTTAAATCTTTTTGGCCGGTCGTGAATTGGGCTTAAGCGAGTGTCGATAATAAGATAAAACTCACTAAATTATCAGGAAACCCTAGATGTCTGGGCTAAATGTGTAACAATGGTGTTTTTTCATTTCCTTCCATTCACCATCCAGGTAACTTTTTAATTATGTCATGCATTAATTTCATGGCATCACCACTTCACGGCATAGTGACGTTAAACCCCATCAGACCAAAACGGTAACGAAAAAATAGGATGTTAATAAAACAAAGCACAAAACAAGTTGCCATTATCATCGTCGAGCAGCGAAATATAGATAAGGAAACTTCACAGGTCGCTGCCAAACTCAAAATAGACATAGCGTAAGTACAACTGTGTAAAGCAGATGGATCGTGAACTTGTTTTTGGGGAAGAAAATTAGATGGTAAGCCACTATAGTCAATCTAGAGCACGCAGTCCAACTGTACAGTGCAAGTTGTGGAACAACCCCATATGTACAAGGCGCTGGAAATCGTGAAACAAGGTCAGTATAACCAGTACCAGCGAGATAATCAATTTTCTCGTGATAGGTGATACGAACAATGACTGGCGCAATCCACGCACACAGACACGGAATACTAACTACTCGCGGTCAATCCGATTTTACCGGTCCAAGGGTAATAATAACTGAGAGGTTAGTGACGGCGATGCCTTGTCATGTGATTATGCGTACACATGTGTCAATCAAAGAGATGTGCAGAGCTACTTGGGTCAGTTATGTATGTACAAATTTGGGTAGGTCAGGCCAAACCTGTCTGTGGCCAAATGGTCGTATCAGTGCGTGCAGCTGCATAGGAATAAATCAAAGCAATCAGATTTATGACTGAAGTGTTGTGCCTGCGCGCGCGGATCTTGCGTAGTAGTGACGGTGATACAGCGGCTGAACAGGCCCAGTTCTGGAACGAATCTAACGAGTGAGTTGAGCAACGCGGAAAAGAGTGCAAGCTAGAAGTAAGGGAAATCGGTCAATAATGGGCTGAATCAAGTGAGTCACCAGCAACTTTCTGGGTTCAGGGTTGCATGGATTCAGCAACATGCATGTCACTTTTGCCGTGCTGTATTTGTTTAGTGGTGGTAAATAGTTGGTCTGTTTATCTGAAATACGCCTTTCTTTTTCAGCATGCCAGTCTTATTTTGCCCACTGTGTCACTCGCTTCTGAGTATTGAAGAGTCAGCCAATTGCTATTCGCTGAATTGCTCCACTCCTTGTTGCCCATATCGCTGGTACGTAACACAACCATTGGTCCAGGTTCACAAGCCGAGACAAGATGTCCGATTGCGCCTGGAAGAAGATGCTGTGTTTTCAATCGACGATCAATACAGTTCTTCAGCTCAGATTGAAGAGCGATGTCCCAAATGTGATCACAACCGCGCCTATTTTGTTCAGATGCAAACTAGGTCGGCAGACGAACCAAGCACAACCAAATATTCATGTATGAAGTGTCGACATATTTGGACAGAAAACTGATTGTTGACTTTCTACCTGACTATTTGTACATACAACATCCAAATGTTTTCACAGTACCTTTGTTATTGTTACGTTATGCGATGAAGAAGCTCCTGACGACGGTTTTATAAATAACAGCTCGATCAAACATGGACATTGGAAACTACTTGTTGCGATTGCTGCTATTTAATCTTACTTCAATCCAGTCATCTGCAAGAAAATGAACAAGCTTCACGACCATTTGGCAATGTATCTTCAAGGACACCGCGGCCTTATGCTACGTCTGTTGTAAGGTTATTCACTTATTTTTCCCTTTGAAAACGGTATGGTGATTCAAGTTCTTCATGTCTGACTTAGCTGTTCCGAAGCCGATTTTCGGTTGTCCTTCTTTGCGGCACTGCCAGGAACACCTGTACCTTATTAATTGGTTGCAGTTGATAAACTTGTATTTGCTGCTCAGTACGTGGTGAAAATACCAAAGACGATGTAGCTGGACGGTATTAGAATGCATTTAATATCGTACGCTCAATGGTGCACTTCTTCATTAGTAGCTCCTCCTGTCATTGAACTTCAGAATCCATCTTAAACCTCATCGGTTTCATCCCTTGAATGTGTCAATGTAATCAGCACAGAGCTGTCGGGTCTTCGCTGTATAGAGTAACGGTACGTTGAAAGGTTTCGTAAACCTCAAATTTAGTTGTAAGATTGATCTAACTGTGCGACATGAGTAAGCAACCTGTTATTGGGACAATGGAGTTTGCCCTGTCTGCCGTTCAACGCGTGTGTAGTTTAACAAAACAGTTCTGTGTTTGTAAGGACACGTTTGAGCGTTATTGCCGTAAAGCCTTTTTAGCCTGATCCTTTGGAAGCATTAATGACCCTAGGTACCAAAAGACAGTTTCAACTGTTTCCTACAGCCACTGATGAGATACACTGGGTGGTGATTGGTGCGGTTACCAACATCTGTCTCGACCCTGGTAATTTCCGAACCAATGATGAATATAGATCAATTCACCTGACCAAACGTCTTCCGCAAATTCGAGCTGTCAGCTGGTGGCTCAACATTGTCGGTAGTCTTGATTGTTTTTTAACCAAATTATCAGGTTGAGTAATGAAGATGGGATAATGAGCAATTAGAACATAGATTCGTACCAAGAAAACTACAGCATGCGGATAAGCTATATGTGCACAGAGATTGAGTAGACATAAGAGCGCAACTAATTACAACAAAGCTGTATCACTCAATGAATCTGACCGTTGATCAAGCGGGTAGTGAAGTTTTGTGAGAGAGACACTGAGTGATGGTAGTGGTGGTAGGCAGCTTTGCTGTCGCCCGGTTCCTTACCACGCCTGATCTAGCGTGGCCTTATGTGGTTCACCACTCCAAGTTCTGAGGGTCAGGTTGCCGGTTACCATTACTGAGCAGCAGGTCTTCGTGACTGTGGGGTTCGCCCCGTCTGCTGTACACCACACACTGGTGTGTAATAAAAAAGTATCGGAACCAGTCACTGTCGTGCATCTACTCAATGTCCTTGTAACCTTAGTCTTCATGAACTCCCCGTTTTCACCCTGACACTGATTTGAACATACCGATGTTCCCCTGACTACTTCATTCCAATGAAAAGCCAAGAGACAGCAAACAACACCGCACGAAAATTCATGGTTAATAGTTATGAGACTGCACCTTGATGTGGGTGATGGATTGTCCGCCTCTGTAACCCAACAAACTATACAGGATGGATTTTGTCAAGCCGCAGATGTGATCATACCTGGAAGGTCAATGGGTAGAGGTCAAACTAAGTCCAGTCTCCTGGTCCTCCAGGTTGGGGGGTTCGACTCGAGTTGGCGTTTCAGTCGGTAAAACGGGCTGCAGGAGTAATTGATCCAAGTAAATAGGCCTCTACTTCGCTTCACCCACTGCCTTGCGGTTAGGTTCTTGTCAGAACTAAAGGCTTTGGACGAGAACCCTAATCGGTCTCCTGCTTAATGGCTGGACACCCTAGAAGTACCCGTCCACCGAACTCGAATGCATACACCACCAAAAAATAATTTCAAACTGCATCGATCGTTGCGCAGAATAATCAAGACCACGTTGCCCATTACATCGAGCGGGGTGGGTAGTGATAAGTGGGCTACTGCTCAGAAATCCCAATCTTTGTTTAACTCTTTATCTTCCGTACTCAACCCTCTCTCTTTACCCGTTCTTCCAACCCCTAACATTTCCCCAGACAACTTGTTCGACATTCGCCAAAGTTCGTCGTCGGTAAGTAGTTTACCACAAAATAGATTGCACATTATGAAGCCTCATCAAACACAGCATCTGGGGGCCTTCAACGCGAGGACACTGATGCAGGTAGATCAACAAGCTTGTCTGGCGCGTTCAGTGGACTCTTTGGAGACTGATGTCTGCTCAGATCAGTTCAGTTTAGTTTGTACAACCATTAACCATGCACTATCGTTCGCCAATTTTGGTTGCTATCTTTCGGTTACCCATTCGGATGAACATTACGAGAAAAACAGGAAAGGTTGAAAGTAGGATTGAAGAGAAAACTGAAAAGTTCGGTGGACTAATGATACACAGAAATTGAGAAGATGCAGGCCACTGTTTAAGACACTCAACCATATCTCTCAGTGTCTCTAACCATCGGGTAGGACCATCCCGAGGTCCCCATCCAGGGAGCCTAACGGGACCTATGTGACCCAGACTCCTGGTTAGGGTTTTCATACCTTCATGCCAGTTCTTAGCTTGACCGCCCTGGGCTTTATTCCACCCACCACCTNCCACCTGCCTCGGCAAACATCGCTCGCCTTGGCAACCTATCTGGTGACATAGTTAACACGCCCCAGACAGCGTAATCTTTGAAGTTGGACCACTTGCTCCAGTGAGCGACCGCGGTTGCCTAAAAATTTTGCCTTACCTCAGCATTGTTCGCCCGGCTGCCCCACCAGATTCGTGCAATGCTGCGGTGTTCAAACACCGACAGACTATCTTAATCCTGTTTTCCTAATGCCACGTTTCTGCTCGATATAGTAGAACTGGCCGAACTTTGCTGCAGTATACACTCTGTCACAGACAGCCGGATGAAGGGTCGTGTGTATGCTGCGTTTCGGAGACTAGTACTATATTCCACTTGAAGGCACCGGGGTTGTCTTCTTCTTCCTTCGCATGTCAGGTGATGACGAAGCCCGTTCAGTAGGACAGCGTG